CAAAAAAATTACAACTATTATATAGAATTTCAATCGGGCTTAATTTAGTACACAAAAATAAAATTATTCACCGTGATCTTCATAGTGGCAATATTCTTATTGATCGCTATAGTACATATTCTGATTTAAGACCAACAATTGCAGATTTAGGAATAAGCAAGCCAATAAATGAATTGTCAGATAAGAATGCAATCTATGGTATTATTCCATATGTTGCACCAGAGGTGTTAATAGGAGAAAAGTTTATACAAGCTTCAGATATTTATAGTTTTGATATGATTATTTGGGAGGTAATAAGTGGCTGTAGGCCATTTTGTGACCTAAACATGATGAATATCTTATTCTGGATATTTTTAGTGGTCTTCGCCCAAAAATTCCATCTAACATTCCTCAAGATTTAATTGACCTAATAGAAACATGTTGGCATCAAGATCCAGAAACAAGAAAATTTGCAATAAAAAAACTTACAGTTCAAGAAAAAAGAAGCTTAGGCTGGAATAAACTAAAAAAATTGAGAGAGGAAGAGAGAAGTGGTGGTCTGGCAAATGCGTTGGATGAACTTATTAAAAAAGCAAATAAAGGAGAAATAAAATTTCCAGAAAATATAGATACGAGTATTTTGCTGAGTAAAATAAATGATCAAGCAATTTATTCTAGTCAACCATTAACTCAATTTATTAGTAAAGCATTGACTTTACAAAGTATGCGATTAAATAGTAATGTAATTACAGGTGAGAAAATATATTAAATTGAACTGTATATTCTTATCTTAAGCATAAAAAAATATTAATCATGTTTATAATAATAAATTGTATTAGATATTCAAATGGTAATAATATAGCAACTAAGCAATAATCAAACAGGCGATTCTAAAGCGATTTATTTTAATATAAACAAACGGTAAATAGAAATTTGGCCATATTGACAAAAATTTTCAGCAAGAAATCCTGTTCTCAAATTTGTATAATTTTTTTATTCAAAAATTTGAATTCATCCTTTAAAGCTTTTTTTTTTAGACTTTATATTGATATCATATATGTATATATTCACAGCTTATCAATATATTTTCTGTATAATTCTCTATCAGTTTTATTGATTAAATCCGGATATAAATGAATAAATCTGGATGCAAGTTTAATCAATTGACAAAGATCAATACTTTGAAATAGATTTATATTATAATTGTGTTACATTTTATAAATACAAGTATCATGATCATTCTAAGTTACTGGTTTAAGCGCCAATATATTTAATAATAACAGACTGTGAAATGATAACAAAAATTATAAGAAAATTTGATTTCAGTAATATTTCAATAATATTTCAGTAATATTTTAGAAATATTTATGCAAAATTACAATAATTTACAATCCTACTATTATGAGTACACAGGTTAATAAAGGCACCGAATCATATGAAATAAATTTTGTAAACATATAAAACAGAATTAGATAGAAATATTAAAGATGAGCTAACATAAATATGTTCATATTCAGATATTGGTATAAAATTTACAAATGAAATAATATCAAATTTTATAACGATAAATTGGTCATTTTTTTCATTAATCCTTTTTTTCATCGTCCTTTTCTCATCTTCCTTTTTCCTGTCATCCTTTTTCTCGTCTTTTTTCTTATCATCCTTTTTCTCATCATCTTTAGGATTAATAACTTTAGTGTTAACCTCAGGACCTTTTTCTTCAGCCTTTTCTTCTTTTTTATCTTTCTTTTTGGGGAATTCACCTGGAAGTCCTTCCAATTTAATTCCTGCACATTTACTATAAACTCTTAATCCCAGTTTCAATTCCCATTCATCTTTCTTTTTCTTATCATCCTTTTCTCATCATCATTATTATTATCAACAACATTATCATCATCATCATCATCATCAGTGTCCAGTCAAAATGCAATTTTCTTAATATGTTTTTCTTTACATTTTTTAGCCTCATTTTCTTTTTCTTGCTTTGGTTCTTGATTTTCCTCAGTTCACTCAATAGTTTCACAGTTTACATGTGGAATAATTCCATAATCACCAGCTGGAAGTTTAACTTCATGTTTATGCTACGAGAATCGAAAGCAAATGTCGAATGACTACGGGCTAGGTAAGAAGAAGTTTCACCTTCTTTGAATGCACAGAAACTTAATTGATAACCTTTTTTTAAAGAGATAGATATTATTATTAAGATAAACAAGTAATAATGATAAAAAATTAATAATGAAGAGAATATAGAGTATATATAATGAACAGAATATAGAGAATATATAATGAATAGAAAATATAGAAATTAGAAATACATACTCATATTTAGGTTCATCACAAAATATCAATCATCGGGTTGTTGAAGAACTATAATCAGATGACATTCTTTAGGTAAACTTAGTTTAAACTTTCCTTTAAACCTTGGTACAACATTATAATTAATCCAAGTCATGTAAACAGTCCAACTTGAATCAAATAATCTACATTTATAAATCATATCCCAATAATTAAGAAAATCGTCATAACACATCCAGAAAGTACCATCATCACTGAATCTGTGGCTTAATTGAATCATACGTTCAGGAGTCCATTCTTTACTTCCATCACTCCAAGCACCTTTTTTTAAATGAATAAATATAATTAGGAAATGTAATTAGGAAATATTACTATGGTAAATATTATTATAAAAAATAAAAATTTATATAAATAAACTTTTAATTGGAATGACATACCATTCCATTCAGCTGTTCCCCAAGGATTTCTTATTTGTAAAAGTTTAATTCCATCATCATTCTCAGCAGCATGCAAAATACTATAATCATGACCACTAATAGTTTCTTTTAAATACATTATCACTAAATTCAAATCTGGCACATCTCAATCATAAGTTATTATTAACATTTTTAAATACATCATTTCAAAATTTTCCTTATGCAAGATATCAGTGGTAAATTGCAGTGTGTAAGCACCACCAGTTATATTTTCTATCCCTATTTAAAGAAATCAAATAGCCAAGAAATCAGAAGCGGTATTTAATTAAAGTATGATGTATAATTCTTAAACATAGTTATGAAATTAAGCTTTAAATGTGCCTAATGAAGTGATACTGAAAAATCGAATAAATCAAAGTGCAAGGTTTCGATAATAATAAATTATTTGCATCATTAATTTATTAAATTGATCATTAATCATACTTGGAGGATGATGTAAGTCAGCCAACTATATACGTAAATATTTTTTATCTAATACTTGTTAAGGCTGGCATGTGTTAAAAACATTGTGGTACTGATACTAGCAAAAGTTCAGGAAATAAAAAAAAAATTGCAGACACTTAGACACTAGCATTTCTGCCCTGCATAGTGCCAACAGTACCTGACAAAATACCAATTGTGCTAAGCATGTTTACTTGAAGAACCCTAATCTAAATGTTATTATATAATTCTTTCATCAGACATATAAACGAGTTAATTTATCGAATCAAAATTTATCAAATTTTTAGCTCCTGAAAAAAATACATTAATCGACGGATGTGCTGTGTGCAATATGTGAAATAGCAAATTTTTGCGCACGATTCTGTATATAGACAAAAGATTATTTTACATATTAAGAAATCGATAGAGCCTTTTCCCCTCGCTGCCTGGCTTTAGTCTAGCTCTTTTGAGTGCTCCTACCTAGTCCCCCAAGAAAGAAAAAACTATGAATGAATGAAAAGAGGTACTTAAGAACTTGCTCGCTAACTGAAATTATGAACTTAATAATTAAAAATTGCGAGAAATTATAAGCAAAGGGAAGTGGTGTAGCTCGATGACTTGTTTACCAACATATAAATATTTCACTTGGTATTTTGCTCATGTGTGTTTAGTACTGTGATGCGTATTGATAATTGAAAGAATTGTTATTTAAGAATCAAAGTTAGCGAGGACGCATAAAAGGAAGGAAATGAATGGCTAGGACTTGCTTACCAACTTATGGATGGGCTCACTTGGTAACTCACTCTCTGACACTCATACATATAAATATGACGAAAAAAAATCCACAGTTGCGGTATGTAATACATGTACTCAAATGTGATCTTGTCAAATAGTTTGTAAATATGCATATATGATTGCTAAGAAATCTTGTAAATCATAAATGTAAATTATGGGCATATTAATAGCCGCACAACTCCTATTGTGTTATTCCATTTAATTAATAAACTGATCCGAGCGAGAATAATGAAAAGTTTTTATATTTCCGCATATTGATAATAAAAAAAGGTCATTCGTGCTTGTGTTTTCTCACGCATAAACCTCACGTAAAAACTCCTACATATAATTTTCCATATATTGATAATAAAAAAGGTTTTTCATGCTTGTGTTCTGCCTCATGCATAAGCCTCAGCCTGCATGTGGAACTTTCACGAGTATAGAATATTCTAAGAATATATTTTTTGGGTTATAGAAGAATTCTTGAGTCTGTAATGCTTAAATATGGAATGATCTACTTGAATTAGAATCTTCCATTGTGAAATACGAATTCTATATAAATTGACCAAATTCGAAAGCAACTTAGTCTATAATCAAAATCATAAATGTAATTTTCTAATAATGTTTTAAATTAGTTGTATAATGTATAACAAAGAAAGCTCACAAAATATTAACAAGAATCTATCTACAGAATGGACTGTAGGCTTTACTCAAGATCAATCTAATATAAATTTACTGAACATTTATAATAATCCATCAATAGAATGTCCAGCTGACTTTACTCAAGGTTACAAAAAACAAATTAATAATAGTCTATCTACAGAATGGCATATGGACTTGACTCAAGACCAAACTAATCTAAGTTTGCCAAATGTTTATAATAATTCATTCATAAAATGGTCCGAAGGCTTTAGTCAAGATCAAACTAATAATAATATACCTATCGCTATAGAATGGTTCACAAATAATAATTCGTTTATGGAATGGGATACAGGTTTTACTTCATATCAAACTAGTACAAGTTTATTAAACACTTATAATAATTCGATTATTATATTGTCCACAGGTATTACTCAAAATGATGAGAATCAAATTGATTGTAATTCATTTATAGAATGGACAACATGCTTTACTCAAGATCAAACTAATACAAGTTTACTAAATATTTATAATGCTCGACATTGTGAGGAACAAATTAATACTTTACAACATGATACAAAATCAATTAAAAAAAATGAACATCCAGTTTCGCTTGTCTCTAGGCGTAAAAGAAATTCGAATCCAAAATGCAAGAAATGTAATTTAAAAAAAGATCACTACGATGTAAATCCCAATTTATGTAAGAATTGTTATCGGGCCTCATTACGAATTTTAAGTGGTAATAAATTAATAGACGATTTTATCGAATCAACACAAACTTTTTATAGTAACTGTAGACCTGAATCAAAGTTAGAATTTATTCTATATAAACAATTCACTAATATTGAATACCTTGCTAAAGGAGGGTTTAGTGTAATATATAAAGCAACATGGGTTGATGGTCCTATTGATCGATGGGTTTTTAAGCAGGAAAAGTATAAATGGCATAATAATTATAATGTTGTTCTTAAAATTCTGAATAATTCTGAAAAAATAGATTCTGATTATTTAGATGAGGTTCATATATTTCTATAATAATATTCATATAATTTGTTTAATTAATTTTAAATTTTAAAACCTACTAATTTATTATTTTATTTGTTATTTTAGCTAAAAAACTTTTTTCACTGTAAAAAAAGTGATAACAATACTTTAAATAGTAGACTTCATCAATATCTTGGCATCACGCAACATCCTGAAACAAAAAATTATATAATAGTTATAGAATTTGCGCAGAATAGAGACCTACATTATTTTTTAAATAGAAAAAATACTCTATCCTGGCCAGCAAAATTACAATTTTTACATAAAATTTCAATCAGGCTTAATTTAGTACACCAAAATAAAATTATTCATCGTGATCTTCATAGTGGCAATATTCTTATTGGCCGCAATAGATATGGTCCTGAAGTAGGGCCAATGATTGCAGATTTTGAAATAAGCAAACCAATAAATGAATTATCAGATAAGAATGCAATCTATGGTGTTATTCCATATGTTGCACAAGAGGTGTTAAAAGGAGGAAAGTTTACACAAGCTTCAGATATTTATAGTTTTAGTATGATTATTTGGGAGGTAATAAGTGGCTGTAGACCATTTTCTGATCGTAAACATGATGAATATCTTATTCTGGATATTCTTAATGGTCTTCGCCCAAAAATTCCATCTAATATTCCTCAAGATTTAATTGAATTAATGGAAACATGTTGGCATCAAGATCCAGAAAAAAGAAAATTTGCAAACCCAGAAAAAAGAAAACTTACTGTTCAAGAAAAAGGAAGCTTAAGCTGGTATAAACTAAAGAAATTGAAAGCGAAATTGAAATCAGAAAAGATAAATGGTGGTCTGGCTAATGCATTGGGTGAACTTATTAAAAAAGCAGATAAAGGCGAAATAAAATTTCTAGAAAATATAGATACGAATATTTTGCCACCTAAAATAAATGATCAAGCAATTTATTCTAGTCGATCATTAACTCAATTTATTAGTAAAGCATTGACTTTACAAAGTATGCGATTAAATAGTAATGTAATTACAGGTGAGAGAATTATTGTATTGAATTGTATATTTCTTATTTTAAGCATAAACTAATATTAATCATGGTTATAATAATAATCAATTGTATTAGATATTCAAATAGTAATAATGTAGCAACTAAATAATTAAACAGGCGATTTTAAAGCGATTTATTTTGATATAAACAAATGGTAAATAGAAATTTGGCCATATTGACAAAAAGTTTTGGCAAGAAATCCTGCTTCTCAAATTTGTATAATTTTTATTCAAAACTTTTGAATTCATCCTTTAAAGCTTTTTTTTTTAACCTTTATTTTTAATCAAATATTGAGATTATATATTTATATAAATTCATAGCTTGTCAATATATTTTCTGTATAATTCTTTAACAGTCTATTGATTAAATCCAGATATAAATGAATAAATCTGGATGCAAGTTTAATCAATTGACAAAGATCAATACATTGAAATAGATTTATATTATAATTGAGTACTATTTTATAAATACATATATTGTGATCATTTTAATTTCCTGGTTTAAGCACCAATACATTCAATAGTATACAGACTGTGAAATAATAAAAAGATTATGAGAAATTTGATTTCAGAAATATTTTGCAATATTGTAAAAATATTTCAGAAATATTTATGCAAAATTACAATAATTTACAACCCTACTATTATGAGTACACGGGTTAATAAAGGCATCGAACATATGAAATAAATTTTGTAAACATAAATATGGATATAAAACAGAATTAGATAGAAATATTAAAGATGAGCTGGCATAAATATGCTTATATTCGGATAGATAGATAGATAGATTTAATATTGGTATAAAATTTACAAATGAAATGATTTCAAATTTTATAATGATAAGTTGGTCATAATTCTCATCCTTTTTTTCATCATCCATCATTTAAAAAACCCCAGCCGGCATCAATATAATTCCGGCCCACCTTAATCCTAAAATTCTGCTAGGGATCAATTTGACCCGGTCAAGATTAACTTGACCTAAAAACCAATTTGACCCGTCACATATATATTACACTAAATGTGATTATTATAGTTACACTAAATGTGATTATTATAGTTACTCTAAACATGATTATTATATAAAATATAATATAAGAGGTATATAAATGTGATTATATCGAAATGTGATATAAGGGTTCACTCTTCTTCAATCTACCCTACTCAAGAACACTTGCTCACTAACTGAAATTATGAACTTAATAATTAAAAATTATGAGGAATTATAAAGAAAAGGGAAATGGTGTAGCTCGATGACTTGTTTACCAACGTATAGATAGTTCGCTCAGTAACTTGCTTCATGAAATGAATGGCTGGGACTTGCTTACCGACTTATGGATGGGCTCACTTGGTAACTCACTCTCTGACACTCGTACATATAAATATGACGAAAAAAATCCACAGTTGCGGTATGTTATACACGTACTCAAACGTGATCTTGTCAAATAGTCTGTAAATATGCGTATATGATTGTTAAGAAATCCTGTAAACCATAAATGTATATTATGGTCATGTTAATAGTCGCACAACTCCCATTGTGTTATTCCATTTAATTAATAAACTGATCCGAGCGAGAATAATGAAAAGTTTTTATATTTCCGCATATTTATTAGAACTATTCATTAGAACTATTCAATTATGCTCAATCCACTTTTCCATATATGTGTGCGTAGTGTAATGCTTGTGTGCATAAATAAAC